GTTCACCCCACAAGGCCCTGAGTTCCAAAGCCCCTTCACGCACAGCCGCTCTTCTTCGTCTTCCATGGTGGCAGTGGCTCTGAGAAGCATCACATCCAGACGGCCCTGAGCAACGGAGCGGCTGGGACATTGCAAGAAGTTCAGGCAATCACAGTTTCGGATAGAGACGACCAGGGCAAGATGCGGTGCTGGATGTGCCGCATGTGGTTCACGAAAAATTTAGCTTGTTTCAGATTCAGCAATGCCCATGCAAGATGCGCCCTCCCGGGATTTGATCTGAGGTGGTCAAAATGAATGCGCTGAGCTAAGTCTCTCTTGACTATTCACTGGAAGCATGTCCTGTCTTGTCGATTTTTCTTCTATTCTGAACCCGAATCTGCAACTCTTGCAGCTTCATGGCACGCTGTTCTCTGTATCAGGTCGACACTGATACGCAGTGGGCATACTGGGAAGGCGCGTTTCGGAAGCAGCTGCGATCAATTAGCTTGCCCCAAACCCTTCCATCAGCCCTGCCAAAAATCCTTGGTGAACGCAGGAGGCTTGGCCGACACCCAACTCCCCTGCATCATTAGCTTTGCCTATGCTGTTGCCATAGTCTTGCCAGATGAGATCATGGGGCTTTGAATTCCAAACTCAGCCAACAACTTGTCTGCAGGCCTCCTCCAGTTCTACCGCGCCAAAGAGGGATACCTCCAGGGCCAGATCGGGAACCCAGAGGGCGAGGCACGGCCGTGGATTGAATTCGGGTGGAGATGGTGCAGGGCTGAGGATGCAGGCCTGAGCAGAGTTGAGGTTTGAGGGTTAGGTTCATGGATTGTCCTGTGATCGTCACAGTCATTTCAGGCTTCAGGTTCACCACCTCGTGCTTGAGGGTTTGCTACTCACTGCAAGCCAAAGCAGCGGGACCATGTCACCTTCCTGGAAGCTTTTTGGAATCTTTTCGATGCCGGCATGGTCCCCCATTGCGGACCAACCACATTCTGAGTCTGAGTTGATTTTCCACCTGAGTAGTATTTTATTTGGGGATACTGTGGTACCCAGTATAGAGTAAGATTATATCCTCCTTTTGGGGTATAGTATTTTATATAGGGAACATAATCTTACTGGGTTTAACCACCAAAAAAAGTTACTTGCTGACAGGACAAGCCGAACAAGAGCTACTATGATCCGCGCAAGTGGATCCGGGAGGTGGGGCCTTCGGCAACCATCCTCACTAGCAGGGCATTTTACAGGTTAGTGAGCTGCTAGTCCATAGCATTGAGACGCCACAACCTGGCTGGATTTGAGCTTGTGGTTATGAGCCCGCACAAACTTTCTTACTTGTTAGACGTGAAGGCATTTGGCTTAGGACCAGGCTACGAAGTCAAAAAACAGTGCTTGAAAGCATTGAGCATAGACATGCACACCTTTCGAGCCACAAAGGTGATCCTGGATTCAACGTCATTAAACAACGCAGAGTGAGAACAAAGTTCGATATGACCTGTACATGTTAAAGTGGAGGGCCAAAGGTTTGTTTGAAGCATTTTTGCTGTTGTTAGACAATGTCTGCTTGAAAATCAATTTGCTTTTTCAGGACTGGATGCGTGATGTCACGATATGCCACGTACAGTTCCATGCAAGGCATGAGCTCGGTAGCTTGAATGATCTTGCCTTGGGGAGGTCTTGGTGTTGATGGGGGAATCTTCAACCCATTCAGCTTAGCTTGCGTTTGGCCTCTGCTGAAATATCATGCCTCAGGCTGAGACATCCATGGTGAAGCGACTTGGCTTCCGAAAGTACATGGTCTTTGAAGAAGGGGTCTTGAAGTATGTGGAGGCTTGTTTCTAGATTCTTGCGCAACTCAAGCTTGCCAGCAGTAAATATTGGGACTGCCGCCACATCATTACATCTACCTAGTTTTGCCATTGCTAGTCTTGATTCTTATTCTCGCGCAACCAACTAGCAAACGCAATTTTGAGAACGCCCAGGCGTGTCAAGGAGGCCTGCGCTGACCTGCACAATGCGGACGCCTTGGTTGATTCAGCTGTTGAAGGAATGCGGGGATTCGGGATCATGGGATTTGCTGCTTGGAAAAGGCTTCGGGTATTAGAGGCTTCTGGTGATTTACGATTTAGGGCGATTCTAGTACGGGAATGCTATAGATTGAGATTGAATCAGGGTTAGGTATTACAGGCATGACGGAAAGTATGTTTGGAGCGGCCCAGGTGTTGCTTCAGGACTCAGTTCATGGCATGGGGTCCTCCTGTTCTGGATCGCTTTGGACATCCAGCGCCGGGAGGGTTTGAAGCCTTCAGATTCGTGACCAGCCTGTCGCGAGGTCAGCATGATAGATAGTGCCAGAGCAGCTTTACTAGGTCAATGTTTAAAAGATGATCTTACACTTAGGCCGTTTGAGTGAAAGTGCTAGAACCTCAGACCACCTTGTGAAGCTTTGGTCGCAAGGTCTGAGCTCCTGAACTCAAGTGCCCTGACTGCAGGAGTCCAAGGCAATGCAACTCAATCGGATTTTTTAATGGTGATAGCAGGGCCCCCCGACACGGATGAACAATTTACTTTCAGTAAAGCTCTCAAAACGACTAGAGAGTGTAACCCAACCCAAAAGTCGAACCCGGCCTGCTTTAGACTGGATTGTACTGCAACTTGTCCTGTGGTCCATTCCCAGCAGAATCGCAACGGGAAAGGAAAGTGCACTCTACTTGTTTCAAACCGTAGCCTACGTCATCTGAGTACTTACCAGTTACCAGTCCATGGGATATGGGCGTGGATGTGTCACATAACTATGCACGTGGGCTCCAGCTTTCATCCCATTGTGTGATTTCCATGAGTTGTGCCTGGTTGATTCACTTTGTTGGTCAGTTCGCTTCGGTGTTCCTGATTAGCACAGCATGCTTGAGAGACCGAGGAGTTGAACGGACATCCGAAGGATGCCCAACGAATTCCTGGCCAACGCGATTGCTTTGATTCTGCCTGGAACGCAGATTTAAAGTGAAGGTTGCATGGACAACCCAACAGTCTGAGCAGCAGGAATAGGAACCCACATATGCACACCAGTGTCACTGAGCGGTCCTCACCACTTCCCATTTGACAGGCACATTGTGAACTGTAGGGGGTACTGCTATGGAAATTCATTCTCTGTCTGGAACTGATGAATCAGGTCTCTCTGGCTCATAGACTGCCTGTTAATCACTTGAGCCGTGGAGCCTCACAGGTATTCCATACTAGACCCTGCCGTAACTAACAGTTATGTGTTGAGGTTGCAGTCATCCACTCGCCTGTCTCGCGGCTAAGGTCTCACTTGCACGCTGACTGACTGCTGCCACATCGATCACTCCATGAGTTGATGTCATATTAGCTATAGTGCTGTGTATTGACAACTGCCACAAGTACAAGTTTGAGTTGCCAGGGTCATGTTTTTTCCGCTGGTTGGACCCCTCGGTTCCCTTCCCGGCTCGGAGTCGGCTTCATGTTCAGAATTCGCAGAAGTGTGAATGTATGGCAGGCTTGGTCGCAGGGAATTCTGGTGCTTCGGGGCTCACACTCCGTTGTGAGGGTATGGTCTCTGTGTTTCTGAGGTGCTGTCGTGGTAATTAGTTAGTGGATCCTGTAACACCCCACAAGATACCTGGAATTCTTGCCATGAGACTCAAAGCATCCCGCCATGGTGTCGAGGTTAGCATCCCCTGCATACATTGCTGATGGTGTCTTTGGCCTGTTTCTCTCTTGACATTGTCTTATGATGCTCGAGGTTTGTAGATTTTTGTAGCAGATGTTCTGACCTCAGAAGACTTCCTACTTGCCTAGGCGGCAAGGGGCCGGGGAATGACCAGCAAAGTTGGACAAACAACAGTTCCCATGTGAGTGTCCCTGGGAAGTGAGAGGCTCGAGGTAGAAGGCCCTTTGCGCCTTGATTCTGCCAACAATGGTGCCAAGGATTTGTTTACCTCCCCGTTTATAGCGCTCTAAGTGCTGCTGGTATGTATTACAGTACCGCAGCCACGATGTTCGACCGCCACCAGCTCCGTCCGTCACTGCTATTTCCACTGAACGTGTGCTGCAACCCTCGGCAAGGCCGTCAGCACTCTTAGTGCTACTGCCATGAATACTTTTTTTCCAGTGTCAGTGCCACCTGCTAAGACGATCACAGTCCTGGTTAGAGGCTCAGCAGAGAGGACTCTTATTCTTCCCGTGAAGGCCGTTGCCTGCTTCGCAGTTCTCGGGGCACGCTAGTCCAGCTGCAAGAGTTGCATGCACAACCTGCATGTCAACAAGCAGCGAATGCTGTTTCGCAACGACTGCTTTCCAATCAAGCATTCCTGGCCATGGAAGTAAAAAGTGCGATGCCTGCCCATCTATTCCAGTCAAACCCTGTCACCCTACATCCCGCTGGGTACTGGGTTGAAAGTCCTGAGCTGACCCATGCAAGCCATGAGGCAGCGTTCAGCTAACATCCCCGGCCCAAAAAGCCTCCAGGGAGCTGAGTGCCCAGAAGATTTATGTCGTGATAACTCAAGCCCGTCATGGACCGCTGTAGTGTGTAGAATCTTGCGAACTTCATAAAGAGACTATGATGGTAGACAGGAATGCTTTGTGAGAACAAGGCAACATTTGCTTGTCTTGAAACAGGGCAGGGCCCTTCCAAACTAGCTTATGTAGCATCCCCCTGTCAAGAGGTTTTCAAGGCCTGTTACTCAAACAGATGCTTCGGTCGTCAGGCTTTAGTCATTGCCCCCTATTCCTCTCTTTCTCTCCATACCTCTTCTTCATTCACCCTTCTGACACATAAATGGGAAAGCTTAGCTATGGAGGCAATTATGAATAGACTTATTGCCTATTGTTCCTAACAAAGGCGCTGCCATGTTGAGCTTCGCTGGTAGCATCACTTTGGACATAAGAGGCACCATTCTCATGTCGCGTTTGTCCGCGGGTATTGGCGTGGGATGGTTGTAACTTCAAGCCCGCTGCTTCGGAAGCCAAGCCTTGTCCCAAAATCAAATCTCAAGGTGCTACATGACGCTCACGGGCGCCATACACTTGAACTATGGAGGTATTCCGGCTCCAATGACTCGCATCTATTCTTCAAGCTATGGGTTGAGGATTGCGGGTTGACTGTGGGCCTTTGACTCTCAAGCACTTGACGGTCCCGTTTTTGGGTTCCAATGATGGCCTCTTGATGACCTTGAAGAAGTCCCCATGCCTTGCTGCATCGCCTGATTCAAGATTTTAATCTATTTGCGTGGAACAGCTAGGAAAGTTGTGTGCCGTGACGTGTAGCAGTGCAGCAGAAAACTCAAGGCTTTCATCCGCTCCTTCAAGCTGGATCTCCCAAGCTTCCAGCGCCAAACTTTCAAACCCTCAGCTAGGGCAGTAATTTGGTTCCCAACCCTGTGATGAATCTTTCCTAGGATAGCTTCTGCACCCAATACTGGGTACAATAAGGTCCTTCATTTGAGCGGCTCTTATCCCTCACAACCTCTACCATGAGGATTTTCAGCACGCGAAAAAGTAAAGGGCCTTTTGGAACGAACATGAACGAACAGCTAAGCCCCTGAACCAGAAACCTTAAACCGTGGTTGCAAAAACTCTTCATTCAAGCACGTCAGGATAGCTCCCTGCACCGCTCCTCCTGTCAGGTGCGCCAGCCGGTCCAGCCGGAACTGGGAAGACAGAGACTACGAAGGACCGTAAGATATCGTGGGATTTGCGTACAAAAGGGGTTGTTAGGCGTTCAAAGGGGGTTGTGCACAGATCATTTTTGGGCTTTGCTGGGAGGAGACATGGATCTAGAAGAGGATCTGAAGCGTAGTACGGGTCACTGTACGTGTGTTCCTAAGGTATACCTGACATGGCCGTGGCTCCATGTTCATTTCGAAAAATCATCTAGAATCAGTGGGGCTACAGATCACCCAGGTATTGGGGAGGAAAGGGTTTTCGGCAAGGTACCTGCCGCCTGGACAAAATTCCTGCATACAGCTGAGCACTGGTAAGCGCCTGATGACGACCCCGCCCAATTGTCAAGACCCGTTGCGAATTCATACTGCGGCAGTCGAGGCAGTCTCCATCAAGACGTAAATCAGAGGCGCTGCGTACTTCCACTGCTAGTGTAAAGCAAAGTTAGCTACTGTACAGCTGAGGATCTCGGGAAAGCCTTGGCCGTTCCTGTGATCGTCTTCAACTGCTCCGATGGCCTGGGTGTGTGATGAGATAGGTATGCATGAAATCCATACTCCAATTTGCTTTCGGGCATGCAGGTGCTCATTATCAACAGATCCAGCCCGTAAACTCTAACATCCCCAAACCCCTTCCCTAAACTCTAATATTTCCGAACCGTTCGCTAAACTCTATTTCCCTAAGCTAGATTGGGCTGCTGACGGAATCTCAGCCACCCCTATCTCAGCACCCCGCATCTCAGCCTCCCAGTATCTCAGCTCTTTTTATTTCAGCCTATCATTGTGCAAGATGTGCACTACAAGTCACTGATGGAGTGGGGACAGTATGCAAGCATGGTGGAAAGTGGAGGCCATCTAGTTATTGCTTGGCAGCTTTGATTGCATGGCATAGGAAATTCAGGCAGAATGAGCTGCAAAGCCTCCGAAGTCCCATTGCATACTTGTAGCACAAGGAGGACACAACCTGAAGCTTTGTGGCAACAGGCTTGGACTACAAGATCATGGGACGCTTCTTCAGCGGCCTCGCACAGGCCGTCGGAAGGTGACTGAATGTACGTTGATGTAGGTCCCTTGATGCAGGGGCAGGTGTTCAGAGGGACAGAGTGGGATGGTGTGGCAGAAAATTTCAGAGAACATGAACCAGAGATGAAGCTAGCATATTTAACATGTGCTGTAGCATGGGAGGGCCAGCGAAAAGGTCTTGGCCTCCATTTGGTGGTTTTGTGAACATCACCAAGGCTAAGCGAGCGGACGACCCCCAGTCTTGTAGGATTCAGACTATTGACTATTGCAGCGGATCCAAAATGCTGGTGTCCAAGGTTCCTCACAAGCCGAAGAGCCTCACCTTCATGCCCATGAAGCTGAGTCCAAAGCAACCTTCATAGACTGGCGGTGTGATAAACGGATGTGTCAGCAGTTCCCATGAAGACGAACTTTGCGAAACAGAGATTTCTGCTTATCCAGCGAAACAAACTTGATTCATGTTCTGATTCATCATAAGCTAGGCGGGCGCCTGGGCATGCTTCGATGAGTTTAACCGCATCCAGGTGGGAGACTTTACTCGGGCTGGTGATGCTAGGAGTTCGGCGAGTTGACATTTCAGAGGTACTGTACATGCACCATGTCTTCCTGTTTGCATGCTTCGCAGTGTTGTCAGTAGCCTTACCTGGGCCTTGTAGTGGCGTGCTTGGCTGAAGAAACAGATTCTGAGTTTTCTCATCGTTTTGCTATTGCGCTGTTTTAAAGCCGGGCTCCACGATCCTGAGGTGGAGGTCTTGAGCGTCGGGGCACTCAGCTGGACAGAAGAGGCTTTCGAACTCGTTCTTGAAGAAGCTTCGACATGCTAAACTGCTGATTCCATACTAGCACCATCTCTGGCACCTGAATTCGAAACGGGTTGAGAGGGCAGGGGCTTCAGATTCTCATAGTTCACATACCGGAAACATGCAAGCCAAGGTCATCGCACAGCAGATGCTGACTGTTACCCATGCCATCCGAGCGCGAAAGGACCCATGCAAAGCTTTGCCTACAAGACGTCCAACAGTTTCTTTTCAGCAATCCAATATTAGCCCGACTATCTCTCAAGGAGTGCCCAGGCGTTGTGGATGGTCCTAGTGTGCTTGTCAGTCAGGGTCGCGGTGAGTGCGGCGAAAGCGTTCCCAAGCTTTCGTCTTGAACCCCGCTCTGCTGATCTGTACTGGGGAGGGGGATGCACGTGGTCAAATTTTGCTGCGTTTCCGGGCTGTTTTCTGGGGGTGGTCTGGTGATCTAAAGAAACCGGCCACTCAGGAGGGTGAAGCATTGAACTCAGCAACTGTGCAACTTGACGTTAACATGCTTTTTTTAAAGCGGCGTTTGACTTCGGTAGCTCACGCTATGAATGCGTGGCAATCATCATTTGCGCTCCAAAGAGTGGACAAGACATGTGTGAAGTTGCACTTGATGCTGCTTATTGTAACAGAGGTATATGAGTCGTACGATTCAATCTTTGGCTGCTGATGCATCTTCGGGTGGGAGGTGAAGAAGATGTTGCTAGTTTTACGAGGTAGATTGCTAGGTTTTCTGGTTCATCATTGAAAGGCGTTCAAGTGAGCTAAGACTGGGCAAGGAGTTTGATTTCGCTACGCTTCCCATGGTTTTTAATGCAGCAGGAAACTTTTGAGTTTGTCGGCCGCGAGATCCCTCTGAACCCGCGTTTCGGGGTTGGGCGCTCGAGCTGCGTGTGCTAAAACGGCATTTCCAGAAGTTGGGAGTTCTTGTGCACATAGGCCTGCTTTGTTTATGTGGCTCTCAGGGAATACCCAAACTTACAGGTACTGGGAGAGTTGAATTTCTTGTGGGACTTCCTGTTGATGTCTGATGATCTTGAAAGCCGGATCCTGTATGCCCAAATCATTCGCCTTTGGAAACGGGGTGTTTGGTAGGCGCGGGCTCGTGGTGAAGGTGTTCATCATGTATTGTTTGTGTTTGCCCACAAGCCATCATGTTTTGATGGAGTACATAGCCTTATCAGACCCCATACAACCCTCTTTATACAAGCCTGTGTAAACTATGTGAGCCCTATATAGCAAAGCCATACTGGTCCTGGGAATGATTCGTGGGGACGACGGATCAGGGCCTAAGTCCTAAGTTTTCTGCAACTTCCGACGAAGGTCTTCATCACCATGAACCCCGGCTATGCGGGCCGAGCTGAATTGCCGGACTTCATAGGGAGTTGGACAAGTATGCGGTTGTTTTTGAGAGCTCGGGGTGGATTTGAGGGTTGGTTGGATGCATGTTTCGGCTTTCAGGACTGGGTCGTTTAGCATCTCGGGGTTGTCTGGAAATGATTTCATGGGACTTGTATCCCACTCAACGGCTCTCTGAAATTTCCCGGATCTCCAAATCCTGCGGTACCAAGCACTGTGGGTATTGCTCAAAACTAGACGCAGTTGAATCCATCAGGTTGTCCTTGTGACAATAAGTTTAATCTGGACCTCCCAAACTGATGCACTGCTTTGAGAAGCCAAAGCTGCATGCCTGCAATAGCTTGTTTTGATGAGAGTCACTAGATGCGTGAAAGGAACCAAGCTATGATCATGTTGATTTCGAGCTCTTTGACATGCATCAGTGCAAGGGAGCTGTTCATCCTTGCTTTCCCAACATGAGGCCAAAACCCTCAAGGCACGCTGGAACTCAATAATGCCGCCTTAAATTTAGAATTTCCAGCCCCAAATCCCTTTTTAGAGGCAGCGAGCTACAAATGCTTCTGCTAAAGCAAGTAGACAGGCTGAGGTGTCTAGGATGCTTCTGCTGAAGGAATTACGTAGAGTGCAGTCAGAGCTCCAAACGAGATTATTGTTAAATCGATTAGAAAGGCTTTAGAGGTCCTGCAAAAGGGAGTAGAGGGTTGTAAGGGCACTAGAATGATGGTGATTAAGCTGTGACAGAGAAGGTTTTGCCTGGGAGCTCCAGAATGTTGTTGCTGAAGCCATCAGGGCTCCAAACATGCTATAACTGAAGCAACTGGAGAGGCCTGAGGACTTGAGGGGTCTAGAATGCGTCGGTTTCATGCGGGGCGACAGTCCCAAACAGATTGATCAATCGAGGGCGGGGTTATTGATGCAAGGTCAACATATTTTCGTAAGCTTTCGATTGCTCAACCCCCAGCATCATGCAGCCACTGCAACGAAGAATCTGGGAAGGACAATCTCAAGTCCCTCTTCCGACCTGTGGCTATGATGGTGCCCTGTAGTGGACAGAGAGATATCAGCCAGTTCGGTTCCAGAGTTGGGGTTTTCATGGGCTTACAAGCATCCTGGCACTCGCTGATTCTGAGAAACATGCAGGGGCTCATAGGCATGTGGCGAAAGGTATGGTCAGGTCGGAGTCATGCGTTGAAGCCGCGGCCATGTTTCTCAACATGTGGGGCTCCCATGAACCTGAGACTCTGAAGTTTCTATTCCCAGTCCCCAGCAAGAGGCCCATGATCTTGAGCTTGAGAATTTGGCTTGCGCAGACGGGCAAGCCGAGCTTCAGGTGCCAGACTATTGCCTCATTGCGGAGATCATCCTCTACTCTGAGGTTCTGCGTCGAATCCGGGAACACCCGTGGTGATTTCAAGAATCTAGCGGAAAGTCTCGGAATTGATCGCAGATAGCTTACCGCCAGGAGCTGTATCTGAGAAGCAATATCCCAACGCCGCAGAGCCCCTGACACCAAACCCCCGAGTCTCCGAGAGTGACGGGCTAAACTTGAGCCATTGACAAATGGCTCTAAACCTGCAACGACTGCTGCTGCTGTTCTTTTGTTTCTTCTCATAGGACAGAGGGCACTATTCAGGGAACTTCTGCATGGAAAAGCTTGACTTGGGCACCTCGTGCCAGGGCTTTGGAAGTGCCACCGCGCTTGCGCGGAAGATGGTGTCCCAGCTGCATCCAGATTGTAACAATGCTGCTCAGGCTGAGGCGTGCAATCAGGTACCATAGTACAACAAGAATTGAAACTAGCAGCAGCAATAGCCGAACGCAAACGGTCGTTGTCGGCATGCCTCTGACAATTGCGGCTATCTTATTTCTGTTCCGATTGCTGCTGTTTGGCTGTTGCTACTTCGATCATTATTTGCACCATGCCTAGGTGAACCTCTACAGCTTGTCCAGCGAGCAGCTCTCAAAGCAGGACTTTCTCCAAGCATGTTTCCATCAAGCAGTGGAGAGAAATCCTCAGAGGTGCGCAGGCGGCCTAGACATTTAGCTTGGAACCTAAGTCTAAGCCCCACCGCCCGAAGGCTGCTTAGATGCTGCACTTCGCATGTGCCAGGACCACTACGACTTTGGCATGCGTGCGGTCAAGTCAGTCCTGGTCATGGCTGGCCAGCTGAAGCGCCACTTGTCAAAAGTCTCTTACGCTTCTGCAGATCTGGATAATCTACAGGAGTAGGTGAAGGTATCAGAAATCAGTCGTCCCGAAGAGTCCGCAGCCTCCGGTGTGCAGATTTCAGTTCTGGTCAGACGAGACGCAGTCTGAAGAGTATCCGAGGCAAGTACCCCACGCTAGTGGAGGACCGGGCTCCTGCCAGAGATTTTGTCAGGTGTGTATGCCATCCTGTCAGCAGGATGTGACGCTAATCCGTGCTCTGCGAGACTCAAATGTGCCTTGGTGCAGAGAGTCACGAACAAGTTTCGTCCATGTTTGCACCCGAGTTCCAGATGTCTGTGGAACTCAAGTTGTGACCTTGCTCTAGAATAAGCAAATCAGAACTTCAAGAAAGTTCACACCTCACCTGAGAACCTGGGCGAGCCTGGGGCTCCAACACCTGAGGTGCCAAAGTTCTTGTCCTTCGACCTCCCACTCTTCTTTGGAATTATCAGCCAGTGGACCAAGCAGCGCAAGCGTATTTGACATTGCGTTCGAAGCATGTCAGCTTGAGTTTTCAAGTTGTATCTTCACAGGTGTTCTGTAGCATATCAGGTCCCAGCCGTTTACCTTCTTATCGTGCTGTCGACCACTGCGCTTTGCAGCCCCCTTTTTTCATTTGAGGCGATCTCTACCCTGAAGTCGATGTGCCGTATGCCCCGGGCTTGGGAACCGCTCGTTTGGAGAGGATATTGCCTGCCGAAATTTCAGGCTCAGTCATCTCACCCATGATACGATCATCAGCAGGCCACAACACTTAACCTCTCAACCCTGAATCCTTAGCCCTGAAACGTCCTCTGTTGGGCTGAGCCCATCTGAGGTAGACTACGGAAGCCTGCAGAAGGAGATCGAGAATCAGCTGCGACTCTCCAAGCTGCAGGCTTGGGCGGCTTGGGTTTGAGGTTTCATCCGCCTTACGGCTACAGGGACTTATACAGACTTCTTTGCATGGAGTTGTGCTTCAGGGGTGCCTTGTATCGCATAGGGTGAATATGCACCGCAAAGAGTGTCCAGCTTTCCACTAAGACACATTGCTGTGTAGTTGAGCACAGCTGGAAGTGCTAAGTAATGGATGAAGTGGAAGCTCTGAGAGCCCGGCATGAACGCCCTCTGTGGCAAGTCAAGCCTGGTTCTGTTGGGCAGCCTACATGATGCAACCTGCAGCTGGAGTCCTCAATTCGTCCCATGCGCAAGCCCCTTTAAGGTATCCTAAGGCGCATGAATGGCTGTGTGTAGCAAACCCTGAGCCGCGATTGCAGCTTTCGTTTTCTTTGCTATTTGGTCAGGTGGTGCCCTCCTTCGTCGGTAAGATCATCCAGCCCTGCTCAAAGTACTCGGGGTATGTGGGCGGCTACGGAGGGACCCAGCCAGAGGGACAGGTTTACTTAGTGTACTCCAAGCTGCGACAAGTTTGGCTGCTGCAAAACGCTCGGCTACTGTTAGCCTGCTTCTCCAGGCCTCTACATAGCAGTGCTGTGCAAAAGCGTAGGAAGTCATTCTGGATATGGTCCAAGGCTTCTGGAGACGCAGCTGGTGCGCCACGGCGTAATGGTGAGCCCTGGCTAGTAACAGCTTCCCGCGTTTCTTAGTTGGAAAAGTGACTCTGGACAGCAATCTCCGGGCAGGTGGTTGGCCACACCTTCATCGGCAAGTCAACCAACATTCAGATCCTCTCCAAGGCACTCTCAAAGCTGCGGCAGGACCTCACACCGCCAGGGTCGTCAGGGAAGCTGTCGGTAGCAGAAGTGCACCCTACTGCAAGTCGAGGCTAGCCACGTGCCTATCCCGAAGGCTGCATTGCAGGTTGATAGGATTCTGTGAGGACAAGGGTTGCTACAAGGAAATGTATTCACCGAAGTTCAAGTTGGACATCCAACATGCAACATGCTGTCTATACCTTGTGATTAGCAGCTGTTCCGCTAGCTAGTGCTGGCTGAAGGTGAAGGCTGCCTGTTTGTTGACGTGACATCTCAGTCGGCCTGAGTAATTCCGCCGCGGCTTGGTCCAAAGCTTCAATCTTAGCAGCTTCGGAGCGCAAAGCTTTCAAAGTGAAGCTCCATACCCACCTCTAGTCCGGAAAGCAACCCGCGAAACAATTGCAGGTAACTACTGTCAACCTTAGCGCTGACTGTGTAGGCACTCATGTCCAGCCATCCTTTGGCTCTGTCCAAGGAGTGATAGGCGCACTAGGCAATGTCTGTGTAACTCTGTATAGCCCTCGCCCTCAAGCGGCATGCCGCCCTTGGGGTCATGGAAACTGCAGCAGAGGCACGGGGACTCCAGGGAAATCCCTTTGGCGTAATAAATGCCACCAGAATCGGGTTTTGTAGATGGGTCAGAGAGCGAAGTTGCTGCTCCAGTCATGCATGATGCAGTCTCCATGTGCTTGAAGCTGACCTCAGGGTTCCGGATGGCTTCCGCGCAGGCATGGCTGTTGGGGGTGGGAGGGGGCTGAGTTGCTTCATGATCTCTGAATCAAAAAGATTGATTTCAAGAATATCTTAGTGAATAAGCATGGAAATGGGCCATGGCTACTACTCGCTCAAAGTTTTTCATTTGCGGCACAGGCCAACAGTATTTTCAAGAATTGTTTCATGTCCTGACACTTGTTTTGAAGACACCTGGCTGCTTTTTGGGAACCTGCAGGTTGGCCTAGTTGTCCAGTAGCGGCCAAACTTGGAAGCGTGATGATTCAGGCAGCGCATGACCTAAGGAAGCGCACAGTGCGCAATCATGAGGTCTAGAAACCTTTGTAGTCAGGCCGGTTGCTTCCTTCCAGCCCTTATAGAATGAAGTATGACATTCCCGGGCTGAGTCTTAAAGTTTTGTGTTTCTCTCGGGCTCAAGCGTGATACGTTGCCTCCCCCTTGCGTTCCAGGGCTGTTGTCATGACCAAAGCTTCGAGGAGTTGAGCGCATTGCTGCAGCAGCTGCAAGTACCGAAAGTTGGGAAAACAGCGTAGAGCTCTTCAGGTATGCGGAAAAACATTGAATCAGCGATCAGAATCCAATTGCGAAAGGCTGCAGTAGCTACAGCAGAGAATCTGCGGATGCAGATTGATCGTGGTCAACATCAGCGCTTAACCTCATGTGAGTGGCAGTATGCTGTCAGGCTAGTTGGGTTGGTTAGGTGCATTGTCGGCCTGACAGGCACATTCGTTAAAAGTGGTTTCACAGTTCAGAGATCCTGGAGGTCCTCGGGTGAGCTCGTGGTTGCCAGTGCAGAGAAAGTGCACTTTTTGCCAAGCACGTTCTGTGACGCAGGTCGAATCCAGGAACGAGGGATTCCAAGGCGCGGCGGAGATATTTGGAGGTTCAGGGTATAGCCGACTTATAGAAAGGACTCTACAGGGTTGATACAGGGTTTGGATTTGAGCCGAAGTAGGGATTCTGTGTCATTTTCGCAGGAAGAACACCTCGGAGGAGCAGCCAGGTGAATCTGAAATTCAAGGTTCAGGATAGGTCCATGAAGTTCTTTTGCACATTCCCAACCTGTAGCAAGGATAAGTGGATGCGTAGCAAAGTGGTTCCAGCGGTCTTCATCTGCCCATACAGCAGGCATGACAGAGCTCCTCAAAAAATCATCAGGGTTCTTAGGGAAAATTCTTTATGTTTGGTAATTTGAGAAAAATTCACTCTTTGGAAGTAATCCAAGAAGGTAGGTGATTAGATCGAATTGCACAGGGAAGCCATGGCCATTGGCATTTACATGAAATGCTGAGACTCATCAAAGTTCACAGCCGCAGCTAGCTACCTTATTCATGTGTATCATGCTTCCGCCCCGCCGTTCTGCATGTAATGCTTGCATCTGTGGATAGAAGTCCCTTGTTGAGACTCATGATCGTGTGAACGTCATGGAAGGCACTCCTTTCATGCATGCATGTCCAGAACTAATTATCCCCACCCTCATCCCAAAGCCCTTCCTGTATGAGAACCTCATGCAGTGTGCCAGGCAGCTACGACATCCAGGCCGTCAGAACTCAGAGATGTGACGCCGATCACGGTGCTACAGATAAAGAAATAATGAAGGACGTAGCAGCACCAGGCAGTTGCAATCCTAATGGTTGTCGCAGTAGTAGGAGGAGTCGAAGCGGCTTCAAGAGTAGAAGCCAAAAAAGGACAAGGAATTGCTGGCTTGCCGTGTCATGGCCCGGATAGCTCTCCCTCAAACATCGTGCAGGTTTGAGATAATGAGAAGTAGAATGTACCATCTTGACCGATCGCAACTTCCCAACTTTGCTTGATGTGACCGGGCATTGTTGCATGAGCGCGTGCAACTGTTCTCGAGCTGCAGTGTGAAGAAGTTTTGGATTTTCCTCCAATCCGGAAGCTTGACCGAAAGACGGATCATAGGATCATCGCCAGGGGTCGTTTTCGCAAAGACATCCAAGAGGACGAGAGGCCGGCTCAATAGCCTTTCAATGCCTTTTCTCAGCTTTGCTGCGCAATTGTGAGCTACATACAATGGCAGTGCGCGACTTCTTTAGCAGTTTCCTGTGAAAGCATCTGCCCCGATGCAGGCTAACGTTTGGGAAGCACAATGGCCTGACTTTCCGGGAAGCCTTGCAGAAGAAGCTCAGCAGAACGTGTCAAAAGATAAGTATGAACACAACGGTATGTGCCCTAAATGACCCATGACAGCATTGCATGGCAGCCCTTCATGCCTTTTGCAGTGGTTGTTTCGGAGTTGTGCCTTGTGAGGTCACCATGAGCAAGCAAAGGCCAACTTCTTTCTAGATTCTAGAGGGCTTGGTGGTACCCCAAAACTCCAGAGAGCTAGTTTTCTGACCCCGGCCATGAAAGGCAGCCGGGGGATACCAGCCAAAGCTCCAAGCGGCCAAGGGACCCCGGCTATGCGTTGTGGTGCTCTGAGCAGCCTGGAGCTTATTTTTGTCTCCTTCGGGACTTTTGGGCTATGACCGTTGGCTAGGACTCCTGCTAAAGGAGACGCATGCAGTCTTGCAAAGAGCCAGAATAAAGGCACGGGTTGCGCAGGCGGCTCTTATTCCGAGGCATGTTTGCAGTAACTGCTCTGACATGACCATGTTGGACAAACTTGTCCTGACAATCCTTACTCGCGTGATTCATTGGTGTCCTGTGTACACCACCTGACAGGTCGTCCTATACAGCACAGCAATGAATGAAAAGCAAGCTCTTTCAGTTGCGGGTCCACGTAAGGTAACCTTTGGTGATACGCTCTGTTGGATTCTGTGGGTCAGATCATATTGCAAGTTGCACTGCTTGCAGAGCCTGAGCGGGTGGTATTTGGAGTTGCAGTTGCGGGCTTGACGTGGTTTGCGCGCATGCCCTGGCTCAGTCAGAAACACAGAGACAAGCCTTGAAGTCAAGAGAGAACTTTGTGAGCCCGCGTCTCCCGGCTTACACAGCCCAATCCGTCACCGTGCTTGGGCCGGGTGAGCTCAAAGCAGAGCCCACTAGCGTTAATATGCGTTAATTTTCTCCAGAGCTGAAGAGGCCAGTGTGAAAGAGCGAACCAGACTGCAGAGCCCCTGCCCTCGACGCAATGTCAAGCCGAGAAGCTGGTTCTACAGGCCAGAGCTTTGTCGAGCGGTCTGGGGTAAATTCAGGGCCGTCTTCCGTGACCCCAGCATGGAAGAATGTGCTTAACCGTGCAGCCGGACGCAGAGATTCGCGACGCCAGCGTTGACGTGTATCCGTTTCAGTCGCATATTGCTTGTATAGTGTGTCGAAAGAAGCTGTTGGGAATGCAGGGAATGATGCTGGGAGAGCCTGTAAGGCTGAGTGATGTTGAGTAACCAGCATAGAGGAGGAGAAGTTCGGCACCATGAGAGCTACCAGCTTTGCGAGTCCTCGATGGAGAAACCGGACCAGGCTCAGATTCTCAGGGCAGTTCTTGGGATAAGCGTTGTGGGTCTCCAGTCATGGGCAGTTGCTTTTCTTCAGCTACAGGCCGGGTTGCTCCGCTAGCTTCAGCCGCAGACTTGGTGTGTAACCTTCAGTTGTGCAGATGAGCCTCCACCAGCGAATCTTCCCCCACTGCATCGTTTTCAATACGGGGGTTCCTCCTGTGGCAGAAAACATTTGTTTCGTCAGCAACCCTCGCCGCATGATGCAAGCGGCTTCAAGCAGGGGGCTTCCAACTCTACTCCTCTGAGTCAATGGGCGAGTCGTGCTTCACAGGCGCGAGCGACGCAGGGATTTCAAGCAATCATTAGGGTTAAGGATTCATCGTTATCTCATAAACTCCTCGGGAAGTCAAGGAGGGATGCAAAGGCATTCGCTCGTCCAACCGTTGCAAACCAGTGTCGGGGACCTGGCAACCTAACTACTCGCGTTTTAGAGGTCCTAAAGATGAGTCCAGATTTGTGGCCAGGTCTGCGGGAGTGGTCTCATGCTTTCACGGAATAGTCCTGCCCGACAGAAGGTTTCAGACACTGTCAGGCTGAGTGAGATGGTAGTGAAGCACTTTGCAACGCGTCGGCGGGAACTCAAGTTTCTAAATCAATGCTAGCAGCCCTATGAAATTACTACTGACAGCTGCCCGTCTTGCAGCCTGATGCCAAGAGCTTTTGACCGCTAGGCTGTGTCCCTCCTGCCTAATGTATCCAAGAACTGGTTTCGCGTGTTATAAACTTCTTCTATGGTGACCCAGAAGTGTTGCTTTTCATAGTGGTAGTGTTGTTACTATCATTGAAGACTTTGTTTTTTGGGGTTTAGTCTCACATGTTCTTCTTCAACCGCTTTTTCAGGATCGAGCGAAATCTCCAAGTTCCGAAACTGTGCACGGAAACCGATTGGCGGTGCCGCTGACAGCCGCGACTATACCAGCTCCTGGGCAAAGATAGCATATTCAAATCGGCAGTCAGAGTAGCCGAATTACTTTACAGCCCTCCTGGTGCCGCAACTGGACCTGCCCACAGTTCTTTCTGACAGACATTGACCGACTATGATCCTAAACCATTTGGGAGGGCTCCAAGAGATAGCAGTCTTTAGTGCATCTTGGAGCCATCTGCTACAAGGTTTCAAGCCTGTCAGGCCCTTTGACTGTGCAGGACGGCAAACGCAGGGTCAGACAGGGGGGCACAAAGATAATGGCATACTGGGTCGCATATCTGCCTGTTTTGGCCCAAATCCCTTGTTGGCTAGACCTCGTACGCTGGGTCCAACGGGATTCCAATGGATTCTGGCTGTAGGCTCAGAAGGAAGATTCCTTTTCACAGGCATCATGGAAGCCAAGGGGAGGCACCTCATCGTGTGTGCTGGGGTTTCGGATCCTTGACTCCTGGTTTAGAAGCATCCAGGCCATCATCGAGCCCATCATGACCCTGATGCCGCTCAGAAAGAACATAGTGTGCATGGCCAGTCTGTACACGTTGAGATCTTGATGCTTGCCTGCTTGCACTCTCGCACTTGCAGCCTATTGCTGTGCAGGCAGTCATTTCCTTGGGCGGCTGCTTTAGCAAGCAAAGCCTTGAGTAGTAGATTGGGCCCGTTTGGGGTCTGCCGTCTACACTCCGGGCTTTTACACATTGCATACGTTGTTTGAAAAGATAGGGGTGCTGACTGCAGCCTCCGTTGTAGCTGTACCTCCGGTGCACTGGAAGCTGTAGAGCTTGGAAACAAACCGGGTTTGCGACCATGATGGCAAACCTTGCTGTGGAGGAGCATCCATATTAACTACAGTGTTAGTGATGTTGACGGCTCGTTGGCCAAAACCTGACGGATGGTCTTCAGATCCCCATATGGATGTCAAACGGGTTGGTGAAGACAAGACAGGATGGACGTCTCTGAGCAGCTTGGCGCCCTCTCTGAGCTCAAGCGATCTGTGGCGAGGCAGGGTGACATGAGTAGCATCAGTGCTTGGATACTTGAGCAGGACTGCCAGATTTATTCACTGTTTCTCTTACACCTGCAAGACTCATACTCATAAACGTCAATGATGGTCGTTACTGAGAGAGCTTGGGATGTAGTCAACATCCTGTCCTTGCTTGCAATGCCGTAGAAGGGAACCCAAACTGAGAATGCAAACAACATTTCTGGATCCTGCCGCAAAATCAGGAAGCATCTGTGAAGGCTATGTCTGAAGCCAAAGACATAGAGCTTCAAATGCAGTAGGATGAAGCCGTGTTTGCCGTGGGTTTGAGGGAGCAGGCAGTCAAACTTTTATCTTGTCAGACTAGAAGATGCCGGGATGCTTTGAAGGATTGAAGAAGCCTCTCAGCGGATCGTGGCTTTCGCTGCATCTGTGGTAGTCGTGGCTTTCAGATTTTAGGTTTCTGGGCTGGGCGCGGAAATGCGGAGACTTGGAATACATCAGGCGGATTAAAGTTTTGATCTACTGGGGCCTTGTGCCGCCTCCGGAGTCTTGAGTGGCCCTTGTGATGGAGTCTATGGTGGAGAACGGGTTGTAGTGGCAAGTGCGTTCCCGATAGTGGGTCGAACTTTCGTCCTACTGTAGTTGAGCAGCTTGCCTTCTAGGGCAGTCTCTGTGGAAGAGGGGCCTGCTATCACGGTTGAGGCGAGCTTGTGTAAAACAGCATCTAGGTTTCTGCAGCTCTAGAATGAGCAGGAAAACTAAGGGGAAATGTTATACCAGTTTGAGTCGGGCAGCCGCATTCGGAGTTCTAATGTTGGGGGATGCTACTGATAGCTTTGATTCCTTCAAGAGGGACTCATGAAGGGAGAATCCTAACACCAGCAGCAAGGAAGTGGCGATCTCCTACCAGGGTGGGGCGATGCAGGAAGTTGCTCACATAGCAGCTTGGCGCGCATGGTCCTGGCTCCCACGCCCCTTGAGTCAGTTGATCTCTGCTGAACCTTCTCAGCAGGTTGCCCCAGCCTCTGTTTCAAGCATGCCAGACATTCGAGATGGGCCTGAGCACAAATGCGGTGAATACAAAGCCTTGGAAGCCTGTCATCATACATACGCGGTTGATTTGGGTGCGGCTTGATGTTTATGGGCTCTGCGCGCTGGACATCAGCCCCTGGATTCTTTCAACAGATTAAAAGCAAGCGGCGAACAGATTTAGTTCTGCGTCAGCACGCTGCTCCATGCCAGGATGGCACCTGCAGCCCTTGTCGCACGCAGCATAATGGCGAGTTGATTCGCATGTACGCGCCCATGCACCCTTGCTGCGCCGGCCTCAGGTCTCGAACACCGGCGGCAACAGCCGTTCCCGCCAACCCAGCATAGACCATGGCGACGTCAGCGTAGCCTCCCAGCTGTCGCACCCTGGAGTGCATCTGAGTGGATCTGTCAGTCCAGCAAGCTCGTAACGTCTAGGTGTGCTGGATGCCTAGCACAGATGTCAGGATTCAATCATTTTGAGAGGTTTTGGTTTCGGTCTCTGTTACAAGTCCAGCGGGTTTGTAAAGTCACATCGTCTGAAGAATCGGTACTGCTTGAGATTATTCTCTGTATGTCCATGGAACGAGTCGCAAGGGCACGTTGGTATTGGTCATCCGGCCAACAAAGATTTGCAACATATTCCTCCGAGATTACAAAGTGGACTTGCGCTTGTCGCTGGGTGGTCTTGGTGCTACATCCGGGTTCTTCAAACTCGTTCTTGAGGAGTGTTTTTTTTTTGTCATGGGAAACAACATCGAGAGCCCGTAGAATGCTGCGAGCTTCATGCTTTTCCTTTGCGGACGCATGAGCTCCAAATGCAACGAAAGCAAATGGCGAAAGGGACTTGGAAACGTGCTTTTACCTGCGCATGAGCTGAGAAAACATGATTTTTGGACATTTTTCAAACCTTGTCACGTGATGCATGTATACTTGTGCATCGATGACTTGGTGCAAGTCCAGACTGATGTGACTCTTCAGGAGTCGATAGGACTTAACCCGCCCCCTGTATAGACCGTTTCTTGTGCAGGGCCTCAGGGAACAATGG